GGTCGGTTAGTCGCTAATTGGATCGCCACGAGGATATTTCCGCCAACGAGATCGCGACGCATCGAAATGGCATGCGAAATAGCATTGTTTGCTACCTTTAGAATCTTTCGGCAGTTCGCTATCAGAGCACTCGTAAGTTTCTCACGACAGCAACACGATTTACATTTGTTTAGAAGTTGTATTTGACCGATCGATATTCTCGGCGATGCCGAAGAAGCAGAAAACTGTCGAGAAGATGAAGCGGAAAAGAAGAGCGAGGAGGGCAAGTAATATCGAGCAAGCCATCGAATCTGCCTCTCTCCTCTTCTCACAGAGTGAAATATGGCTGCAATAAAACGGGGATATTAATGCGAGAATTATAATGGTTGTTAAAAAAACATGAAGAAATTCTGAGGTCAATTTAAAAAGTTAATGGAAGTTCTTTCACTAATCTTGTAATTCGCACTAATCGATATTGGATTCCGAAGAATTTCTAATCGCGCGAAATCCCGAAAGTCTCGGTCTGATCAAATAGCCGAAGGAAGTGCATATTTCTCGTCGTCGTCGTCGTCGTCGTCGTCGAGGTCGGTGAATGCACGGCGGTGATGGAGGCGGATGCCTCCCATCCGGGGGCGGGGGTGATATTCGCCCGTCGCCCGCAGGGTTGGTAGACGGGCCAGCAGACGGGAGTAACGATTACCACCACTACCCCTTCGTGACGAGAAAGATGCTCGCGCCCCCGTCGAGCCCCCCCCGCTCATCCACCAACATCCACCACCTACTAACCGATCGGAAAACATCCCCCTCTCAGATGGTCATTCCCCGCAAGGTGCCTGTGACGTTTCTTAATGGGGCGCGTGACCGGAATCGTCGCTTTCCTCATTGAAATGCGCTATGCGAGGGAATATTTGTCAAAACAACTCTTCAACGCGGTGACACGACTAGTTAAAAAATCTATTTCTTTTTTTCGGAATTAGATTTTCTCAAATATATAGCAATACGTAATCAGTGTTTTAATGATTACTGCACTGTTTCGTCAAGTTTCCGATCAATCAATTCGTGCAGAGTTTGACGTCTTGCATTAGAATGTTCCGAACGATCTTGCACTTTATGGAGGGAGTTTAATTTAAAGGGTGAACATTAAGGGAGTGAAATTCGACGAATAAAGTCGCGGTACTTTTTTTCATTTGCGGTTTGCAAGGTCAGTCTTAGCGATCGATATTCAGTCCATGTGTCATCTGCCTTAAATCGGACTTGTATGTCCTTGACTGCGAATTCGCGTGATATCATTCACCGGAGAGGACTAAACGTGTGAATCGGGCACGCTCGAATCACGCCTTCGATACGCACACATATATGAAACTTATCAGTACAGTCACTCGCATTAGAATCAATGAGATTGAAACGCCTTACCGGGAAAAACTGATGCTTTTGCAGAAAAACTAATCGATATGATGTATATCGTAAAAATTATAGCGACAAATTGACGAGAAATTTCGCAAGAAATTAAGCACTTTTAGAAATAATACACGATTTTTGCGATACAAGGTGCAAATGCCATTTTGTTTTGACTCATTTGCGGAACATAATGCTTTACTACGCATACGTACGATTGCTATATTGATTTTGTCTTATGCAGCTGTCTGGAGTTCGATTTACATAATTGAGTCGATTGTTCATTGCAGATCGCACAAAAAATATCTACCGATTCGCCCGGGATTTATTAGATACGGAGATTCGAGTGAAAAATTCGCACTTCGATTATATATACTCGAGCAATGACTCTTGTAATTTTATGAAGAAGTGACGAAGCGAATCGCCGAAAAAGAATACACGGCACAATGTTGCAATTGCATTAAATCGCATGTTATCGCTGACAGTTATTTATAGAGCGCGGTGTCGATACGCCGCGAAGGAAAAGAGTCCCCCGCATTGCGCCGACGAACAGAAAGATATACGCAAACAATGACGAAGTTCTGCTTTGTGAAATAACAGTTTGTTGCAGATTAACTTGAAAACTGAAAACATTTGTTACCTTCTGCTATCCTCGAAATAATTTTCATAATTCATTCACAATTCAACAGCATTAGCTTGGACGTAATTTAAGCACACTCTGTGTGTTTCAACGTTTCTAATTAGAAAAATTGAAATTATACCAAAAATTGTCCCGCTGCTATCAAAGCACTCAGTCCTGAGATTCTGAAACAAGCGCGCCTATTGTGCCTCTCTCCTGCCTGATTTTCTTTCTTTCAATTCCGTTAACCGTACAGTAGCTTTTTCCAAATCCAAAGTTCGGCTTGTGTGTACCGAGTCTGAAAAATTGACGAGGTGTATTAACCGAGTCGTGTGCTAATGCGCAGGCGGCCAAATCGGCGGACGCGGAAACATTTGCGAATGAACCTTCCGTCGGACGAATCAATAACGGGAACCCTCGGGTGCGAAGGAGGCACCTCCGAGTGGCAGCGGCGGCGAACCCGCTCTCTTGCGCGCGCGAACATGTCCCACGTACAATGTGGCGTAACCTTCCGCACGTCCTCCGCCGTAGAACGCGGCGGAAGTCCAGTTTCGTCGGGTGCAGGTAGGGCCACGAAATTCCCGAGCTTTCTTGCGGATTTTCAGCGTTTATTTTCCTTATTATACCCGGTGGCCCGCGTGTCACGATGTCGCGCTGGGGGCGAGTGCGCTCTGATACACTCCATGATACACGACGCGCTTTTGCACTACGTGAGAGACAGACTATAATGATCGAAAACCCTGTCGGTATTGAAATGAACGTTGCGTCGGGAAGAGAGAAAATACAAGTTGGATACGAAAGTACAATCAATCGTTCTAATTAATAATAAATTTACGATTAAAGAGAAAATTATAAGATAAAAGAACTTGGTTCACCAGGCAACGTTACTGATCGAAGAAGGACAGACATAGACGATTCACTACGTGTAACATGACCGAGGCCTTGCCTCCCTTCTCTCTCTTTTGCCAACCTCTCTTTCTAACCGCGCAGACGAGCTTTCAAGGTCGGTCACATTCAGCTGGAAGATCGCTCGCCGAGGCGCACCCAGATGACGTTACGTTACGGCGTGCCCGAAACACGTGGTGCAAACGGAAGTCGCGCGATTCTTGAGGAGAGGGAAGCCTGCATAGATGCATCCATCCGTTACAATAGGCATTCCCTAGGACACTGGAAAGTTCTAGAAGATGTGTTCAATCTCCAAATGATATTGCGACGAGGAAAAAAATATGTTCTTAATTCGAGAAAATTTACAATTCGAAAAGATTCTTTTTCTGTCTATTCAATTAATCGTATTGAATAGAAAAAATGTTGCGAAAACTTTTTTATCTTATGTTGATAAGGTTGAAATAGCAAGATAAATCTTGAAAATTATGACTTTATCGACGTTTGATAAAACCCAACAGTTGATAACTATGTTTTCTGTAAAGAAAGGCTTCAATTTTTACTTCAGAAATATCCAAGTCTTCTTTTATCAGAAATGTTCTAATAGAATATAGAATTTTTTTATGTTATCAAATTTTGTGCATTGTTGCTAATAGCAAAATTTCATACATAGCATTACCGAGTTTAACTACATGTTAGACATGCAGCTTGCTTGCTAAATTATGTGAAATCACAAATTGACTAGAATCTATTAAGATTTTTGATAAATAAAAGATTGTGATATAAAAATTGCTCTAGATGTATCACATGCAACAGATAAGAGAGTGTATGTGATGTAGAAAAGTTAAAAATATATCTGATAAATACTATAAGAAAGAAATAAACTATTCATCGATCACATTGGCAACTTATTTCAATCAAGACTAAGTGATGAATAAATAATGATGCTATTCATTTCATTTCAAATTATGAAAATCTATCATTAGTATTATATACAGTAAAGGTTGGGACATCGATTGCAGAACAGTGAATAGTTGGACATATGCATAATTAAGCTCGAAAACTACTTTTTTATGATTTTATAATGATAGTAAAGAAGTTAGAAGCAAGCATTCTAAGATATTAAAGAGTAAGATAGTGTTAAATTAGTGGCACTCAAATGCCACGAAAGGTCACACAAGATACAAGTTAGAAAACTCTTTTGCAGGTTACTTATCAAAGATTACAAATGGTTTTCAAACGATCAAATCTCTAAAAAACATGACGTAGGTGATTTGTTGAAACGATAAGAACAATCACAAGAAAGTTGATAACGAACGATATATACATTGCTTTTTTAAATTAAAGATTTCTGAAGCAAGTTATTAAATAATTCAATCTCGCTCTATTATTTATGTACGTACAATTTTATATTCGTCATTGTTAGTTATTTATACTAAAATGCATAAAATATATCGACAAAATTATAAAAAAGTATTACAGATTAATTTCATATATTATGTATCTTCTAAGGTTTATTCATTAAATAAAAATTATCTATTCTAATTTATTTTTCATGATATTTTCTGAATAAAATCGAAAAGTATACATCAATCTGATAAAAATTTGCTACAATAATCCGTAGAATTTTAATTTAAAACATATTACATTTAAACAATATTTTTCGGAGTTTAAATAAGTTCATTTCATCATCAATTAATCAAAAAATATAAAGACACAATCTATAATATATTAGTTTAACAAAGATTGTCACTTATCGCTTACAAAATCTTCCTTTCACAGCGATACCTGAATATCACGACCACATTTGCATTCCAAGTGACATTCTACGGTCTCTTAGTAGTACTATTACGAGTTAATATGTCAAAAAATAATTCTTCAAAGGTTTAAAAATCAAAATCGCAGTATTCATTTACGCATGCGTAAAAATATGATAACATTGAATTTATAATAGTACTACCAAAGAAAAATACAAGAAAGAAACCGTGAAATTCATCTCGGACGCAAGTGAGGCTGTGATCTTCTGGTCAGGAGCCGCCGACGACGTCATGTTCTCTGATCGTGCCACGCGCGAGCGTTCAGGCGTGGTGTTTTTTGTCTAATAGCGCAAATCTCCGGCGCTTACCTTTTTTGATGAGCAAGCTAGTGACCCTCCGTAGCGCCTCACGAGTGCTGGAGGCGGAGCTGTGCTTACTTTGGCCGAAGTATTTGTTGGGTGTGATGTTCGTGGGCAGAGTCAGCGGCTTCCTCTGGTCCCCGGTGCCCGGCAGTCGTGCATCGTAGGCGTTATTAAGCCGCTCGAGGTGCTCGATCGACGCCGGTCGAGGCTGATTCGCTTTCCTAGTGGGATACCATCCGCGATTCGGACCGCCCGCCAGCCGCAGTAACTCTGTGCCGATTATGGCCTGCTCCAAGCCGGGATTATTCCGCCGATAGCTAAAAAGAATGTAACAAATGTGAGGGATCAATAAAACACGGGACAACGGGATAATTTTCTACATGTGCGCGATGAGTGTTTCGTAAAAGACATCTGTACTTTACATAAATTTGCTTTAATTTCCAATGGTTTAATTTGGTTGTAAAATTGTGGCAATGACCAATCGTGATTTTATTCATTGCTTCGATCTGAGAATTTCTGCAGATGTCTTTTTTTTTTTTGTAATACTTTTCATCGAGGGAAAAGCAAGTACTTACCCGGTAGCTGTGGTGGGTGCGTACCAGCCGGGCTGCCGCCTCGATTGCGTGGGATTGCCGGCGTGCTGCGGCGTTCTGGGGATGTCGCTGCCCCTGGCGAACACCGGGGTCTCCGGCAGGGAGCACGACGTTTGCATCCCGGAACCGGTGCCGGCGGCGACGCTGCCGGTACCACCGCCGCTGCTACCGCCGGAGGAATACGCCTCCGCCGACGGCGAGTGTCTCTTCGTGAACGGTCGTCGACGGGATGGTCCGGGTAGATCAGTGGGCAGAGTTCGTCGTTCCACGGGTACCTGGGAAAAAGGACGACTTGTTAGTACAATATGTCAAGAGACACATTAATCCTAAGTCAAAATTAATTATTCCCAAAATTGATCACTGAAAATCAATTTGCCGAAACTAAACTAAAATTTTAATTCTTAACTTTAATTCTTCGCAAATGTAACAGTAGCCGATATTCTCCAAAGAGCAACTGAATATTCTACGTGTTTCCGGCGCCGTGGAGATAATTTGGACGCACGGACAATTAACGGATGCTGGTATCTGCGCGCACCGGAACGTAATTGCGAGACGTTCGCGATAATCTCTGACTGTCGTGCCCAAAAGTGCTGTTTGAGTGCATTCGCTTCTATATAAACGACGATTTTCAACAAAATTGCGTTGTCGGCGTTGCGGTTGAAAAAAAAAAAAGAACAACATAGAAGAGGGATGATCGTGAGCGCCGGCCCTTCATCAAGGACGTAAAGATCCGCGCTCTACGACCGGCAAGACAGATAATTATTGCGCCGTAAATCATTGTTATCGCGCCATTCGAGCACCGCCGGCGCGACGATGCTGGAAATTCAGCGGGCGAAAGTTCACCGCTTCGTCTTGCCGCAACTTTTATTGCGAGACTGCCCCTGGCAATAATTAACAACCGAATGCGCAGCATTTTCGCCGAAGCTTGTTGCAAAAGGAACTTCCGTCATGAGAAATTCTGCCTTCTGAAAAAAAAAACAGCGGACCTAATATCGCGATAATGCATTTTCGCGTTTCCGCGCTTTTCTGTGCTTCCTTGACAGCTATAAAGGCAAATATGTACAAAATTGATACAAATTTAATTCGGAGCTTAAATGACAAGGATGCATGAAAATTTCACAACTGATCGATGGGTCTTAATTAAATTCCCATGCAAATAAAATCGACTCCAAGTCCGCTAAGAGCCTGACGCCAAGTTTTTTGGGGGAAAATCTCGTGTACACGCGAGCTTTCGATCATTGATCATAATCGCGACGGTTAGACAGCTCCGACGGCGAAAGTAAGAAGGAGCTGTATTATAGCTGACGGATCAGCCCCGTATCCGATTATCCCAGACATCTCTCTCCCGCCAGGACTCTTCCTCCTGTTGTGAAATTAAAATTACCGCAGCTGAGCGGTCGACTTCATTCGCCGACACGGTGAAAGCTACTGGAAAGGATGGTCTGGGGAGAAAAAGGCGGCCAATATCCCTAATGAAAACTTTAGTTCAGTCAAACTCCTTCGTCCTTTCCTGCTCGCCCCCGTGCTTCTTATACCCGGTCGTCTATCCTCCCCTCGTGCTCTTCGTAATCCCGGCAAACTTCCTTCTTTGTTCGTCGGGTAATACGAGTTCGTCGGGTATCTTTAAGTAGCGTCCTGCTCGCTGCATTTTTCGCACATCGGAAAAATACCAAATCGATTTACAGCACGTAAAATTTGCCTTCCAACTTCTACATTTAACCGCCGTTTCTCGCACGAAGATTCGAAACAAGAATTAACGTTAGATCTGCGAGGCAGAACGTAAAAGTATATTATTCTCCGTGACGGAATTATTTGCTTCTGATATTTTTCTTCCGCTTCTAAAATATAAGAAAATACTAGATATCGGATTTGGAGATAAAATTATCTCGCGTGTAACATTCATAGAAGGAAATTATCCTATTTGCGTAAATTTTTAGTGCACACTCACCGAGAGAAAATATTCGCTCGAATTAAAACGGAATCTCAGCGCCGGGAAACAAACTTATTCGTTCCATTAACATAAGATTACATCGAACTTTGCTCAGCGCGAGTTCACATTTTTATTCACGCGGTTTCTCAAGCCGATTTCTATCGAGCGGCCGGTTGGCGTAATAAGTAAATGAATTCGGATCATTTGCTCGCTGTGCAGACTACCTCCTGTCTCGTCTTTTTCCAATTAAGTAGTAGTCTTAAAACTCCCCGATTTTTGTCTCCCTCCCTCCTGCTTTATCATTCCAATCGAAGGTAATTGCGAGGGTGCGTCTCGCGCTTCGAAACGCGATCGTTGCCCGACGAAACAAATCTGAATATAAGAGTAAATAAGTCGAATGCCAATATTCCCCTCCCCTCTGTCTTTCTGTGAAAACTTTCCGCGCTGTACGACCTGCCTTCCCCCCCATCACACCCTTCGCAGTGCGGGCGAAGTTACTTGTCTACTCGAGGTGGGTCGTTGCAGCGAAGTTTCGCTGATGCAACGATGCATGGAACGCGCATGATCACGTTATTTCACGACAAAGAATCGACAGATAATATCTCTTGCGTAAAATGACGATGCGAAAAATAAATATGAACTTTAAGGGTGAAAAATATGTTGTGGATGTATTATGTTTATAAGAATGTTGACAATGTCTTATCATGTGAGAGATAGATATAAATACCGTTTCGTAACACGGAAGAAAGTAAGATAATTAGAATGCAAGAAAATTGATGACATATTAATGTCAAATTGCTTTCAATTTAAATTCAAATTTATTCCAAATTCAAGTCGCACACAATTTTTCGAAGAATCGAGCTTCAATAGCGCAAATAAACAGCAAAATCGTGTTGCGCCTCGGAAGAGCAATCTATTCGAGATCTTCGTTTTCGTTTTCGAAATACGTCCTTCGATTCTCATAACGCGATTGAAGGGTGTATTCGATCGCGGGGATAATACGAGACGGAGGATAAGACGGCGAATCGTTTTCTTCCTCTCCTCTTTTCATCTCTCGAACCAAGATCCCTTTCAAGCTTTCTCTGCATAAGATACCCGCTTTCATCCAATACAGGTCGGGATATAACGCAGAAATAATTCGACTCCGCTGATAAATCTATGCATAATCGATCCTCGTCCGGTCTGACCTATCAATCGATCCTCTTAAAATTAAATCAGGATTACCGAAGAATACGCACGAGAAAATTCCTATTTTTTTCCGTAACTTTTTAATTTTCCGCGCTGAATATATAGCGGATTTTCAAGAACTAAACTTCGATGGTTCAAAGCTTCCAAGCAGACTTTACGTTAATGGAATTTTAAGTCGATATTTAGTTTCCAAAGTTAAATATCTCGGCAATTAAGTTGCGAATTAAAATTCCGTCGGAGTCAAGTTTACTTAGGATTAAGGCAAAAATTATGATTGACCATTGCTTGTCATTTTCTTTTTCAATGACATCGAGCGACATGCTCTTTCAGGCGGAACAATTTAAGAAATAAATATAATTTCTATCTGCGGAAGAACGGATTTTGCACGGCAATTTAAGGATGCAGAAAATAGACTTTAGATAATATAGTTTGTGCAGAATAAAACCTGTCTCGCGCTGCAACAAGATTACAGACGTGTCCTTTCCGTTTCTCTTCACTTTCTTCGAGTTTTCTGCATTGAGAACTGTATTCCCCGAAAGTTATATCAAAGATTGCTTAGAGCAAATTCTCGAGAGTGCTGATACAAGCTTTCATTTCGAGCTTCGCTCAATCGCCGGTCTCAAGGACGGATCATTGAAAAAAAAAATTGCCAATATTTGCGGCTTCGATACGAACTTCGTATCGCCGTTTGCTCTCGACTCCCTTTATTCTCCTGCATTTTTTATGTCAAGCTTTCATTTCAATCGCGCATGTCGGGAGTGCATAATACTATAACAATGATTATCTATAAAAAGGATTCTTTTTTTTTTCAATCAAATTCATGTATATCAATAAATTGTTATCTTCGTAGTAAAATTGAACTATTATTGTAAATAAAAATATATAAGCATAACAAATGAACAATAAATATATAAGAATGTTAATAAATGCGCGGTATTTTCTTCAATTCTTTTTATTAAAGTTCTTATATAGCATCGAGCGAGAAAATTCAATTTACCAGTAGGACTCTAAACCTCCGTTTTATTCACCACTGAATTACGTTCTAGCTCGATGTCTCTCCCGCGGATTATTGCGCCGGAAAAACGTCACTTCAACAATGAACGTCCGTCATTTCGATGATCGAGCACTCTACGATCGTACAGGAGGACCTTCTCTCATGGACGTATCGCTTCGATCGGGAAATTTTGCGGAATTTTAGTGAATTTATCGCTCACATGCGTCAATTGAAATGAGTGGTTAAAATTAAATGAGTATCAACACTGTTATTTAACTCTCTCGAATTTAAATTCGTTCCATTAGATAAATTAAAGAGCCTTCAATTTTGCGAAGAAGCGTTTGAAATATGTGAAATAATAATTATACGACTCTGCTTTTTTTATCGTTTATCCTCGCATAATAATTTTCATAGTAGTAAAATTAAATATTTTTAAATAATAGATATAAAGTATTCAGAGACTTTATAAACTGTACAACAATTTTCAATTTTCTGTTCTGATTTTGTCTTCTATCGTCACTGTAAGTGTGTTTTTTTTCCTATTAATCTGTTCAAAATGAAATTTATAATCAAGGTAGAAGACATGTAAGATATATTCCGGGAAATATCGTCTGTGTTCTGGCGTATTTGAATATGTAACGAATCCAAATGCACATTGTGTGTCGCGGGCGTTTCTGTGCGTCAACTACGTCTGATTTGTATTTCGTATGCAAAAGTTGTTGAACTTGTCTGGAGATGTACGCCACCATACGGTAACATAGCCTTGGCTGGAAATCCGAAGCAAATAGAGATGGAAATCAAACTAATCGATATTCGCAAACTGAAAAGGCGCGCTAAGTGTTTGAAAAGTGTTGCACGACAAAGCGTTGAAATTTAATTATCAGGACAATATTGAAATAATGATCATTTTTCGAAGCGCAGGAGTTGAAGAAAAATATTGCTCCTCGAAATCATTCCAAACCTGACAATTTAAAATCAAATGTAAAATAAAATTTTGTCATATCGTAACTCGCGAAGCAGAATTCCCGACAGCTCTTCAATCACCGACCATTCAAGAATTATTGATTCTTTAACATCTCAATTAAAGGAAGAACAATTCTTAAAAAAAAAAGAAAAAAAAATGACTGAACGAAGAGTCTGCCTGATTAGTCTCGAAACACTCTGTATCGAGCGAGTGCGCGCACAACAACAATTCAGGAGGCTCACGACGAATTGGCGACCGCGATGACAGACGCATTCGTCTGTCTCCGCGCCCTCCCGAACGAGTGTATGTGTGCAACCGCCCTCGCTCGCGCACGCTGTTACTTTTCATTATGCGCAATGTGCATAGACGTGGACATTTTATTTATCGCAGAGACACCCGAGCGCCCCGGGCCCTCCATTCACCGGCGTTCCCTTTCTCGCTCCCACGAACCATCCCCCTTTTATCCGCTCGCAGCCTCCCCTCGGCCGGTCTAGCGGACGAAACAATGCGACACGCGACACATAACGGCGGAAAGAACGGTTCTCTCCGTTTTCATTCCCCGCGCCATGCCTTTTTCTAACGCGCAGCCCTACGCGGCAACAGGGGTGGGTGTCTGCCGCAGGAAAAGGGGAAAGGGTGCGCGCGACATCGCAGGGGAGATCAAACCCGAACAAGGGGCTCGCGTCCATTGTTTTAGCGGAGCGCGCTGATAACTGTAATTGAAGCGTCAGCGTATCCCGATCTGTATCTCTCTCATCGATTTGCACCCCGACCTTGTAATCACGATAACACGCGTAATCGTGATAAACGATTATTTTTAGCGGCTTCCGCAGAATCGTGCCTCTCATCGCGAAAAAGAGCTCGTTGAGTTCTTTTATGTGGAAAAAATTTTTTCCAACGTTCGAGGGAGAAAATTGTTGCGCGCAAAACCGCTGCTCGCCGGCGGTTGTCGCGAATAATAATGCCGGCAAATGCGAGAGCATGAAGAAATGAGGAGAAATTAGCGGCAGAGGTCGTCGGAAGAGAGCATTTATTTCTCAGAAGCACCGCACACGTAAGCACTCTCGTCACACGCGGCTCACGTTCGCCGGCAGAACCGGGAGAGCCGTCTCTCTTCTTCTGATCCCTTCGTCGCCTTTGATCTAGCCCCGTCCAGTGCTTTCCGGTGCGAAGTATCCCACCCTCCCCCCCCCTTTTCGCCTATTTCCGGTATATCGCAGGAACAGGAATACGCGTATCGTCTCCGGCTCTCAAAGCAGATCGATTTGACTACTAAATTGCGTGTAGGTACAGGTGGCTTCAAAGATTTAGCCTCCGATTCAATATTGAAGCGAGCTTTCGTTATTGTTTCAAAGAGATGCGCGAGATACCTGATTCAACCTTTACGCTGGGTAACGTTATCCTTTAGCTCCCTTATTGCAATCGTTTCACCGGATCCTTTACAGAAAATATTGTTTCCGAGAGAAAACTGCTGATTTTGTCCGACAAAGCTAGTTTTACAGAAATCAACTTCATCTTATTTTCGTGATCCTTTACGAGATCAAAATAATTTGCGCTGTCGGTTCTAGTAGCCCTTTTCTGTCGTTGCTGATAAAATATGTGAAATTAATGTAAGAATCAGTGCGCAATTATTCAGAAAAATGATTAACGCGAGATTAAACATCTGACAAGTACTAGAGTGAATCTCTCTTGAATTAATACGAATAAAATTTATAATTACAGAGAATATTGTAGTTCATATTAAATGTATAATAAATCAATGTATTATACAAAGCAAGTATGATTAATACCGACACACGTGATTACATCGTAATTGAAATTAATTATTTTTCGACGTAGAACGCAGCGGAACTTCGCGATGTAGTAAATGTTACATTATAAGCTAAAATATTTTTAGTTCGGATATCACATTGAATATATTATCCATATAATATAATGCATTTATTCATGCATTTTCGAAAGTAGCCGAAGAATCTAATTTTCGTACTCGCGTGCTCGAAATACACGCGATATACACACGAATCTGTACGCGCAACTTTTCCGGTGCAATATCTTTCCGCGTCGTCTGCTGCTATCGGTGGCTATGCGATTTTATGCCAGCCGAACGTTGCACTTAACATGAAAATTCCTCCGGTATACAAGAAAAGTACATCGTACTATTTTATTACGGCAATACGAGAAATTGGCTCATCGCCAGCTTGTTTATTGCGGAAAGACGCTTCTTTCCGTCTCCTCTTAACATTTGCTCGGCATTTCTTTGTCTCTTCCATCTTCCGCAGCGCGATGGAAAGTAGTGCTTCCAATGCGAGCTTTTGCATCAAAGGGGGTGTTGGCTCTTTACTGCGAAAGCTGCGCCCTTTCAGCACTTATTAATCCTTTTATTTATTACGTCGCGGATACGTTGTTGTGTGTTTCATATATTTCTCGTCGCGTCTCGAATAAACGATTTAATGCAAATTAAATTTCTTTAGCGAAATGTATTTTTCTAAAAATATATTTCTCCGCGGATATTAAATTACACGTAAGAAATTAATGGGCACGAGCGAAAATATAAAAGAAATTCTTACGAATTCGTGAAAAATTAGTTGAATATTCGAACTCACCTCTCGCCTGGAATTACTGGTGATCGGCGTGCGCCTCCCCCTGGCGAAGCCGGCGTCCATAGACCTGGTGTTTAAGGAGGCCTGCTCTTTCGGGTCGATGACCGGCGGAACGCGATGAGGCGGCACCCTCGGCCTGTACTCCACGGTCCGGTTGTGACTCTTGGATTTCGGCGGCGTCATCACTGCGCTCTGGCCGACGTCTGAGCAGCTCTCCTCGTCGGCCTCTTCAACGGGCGAGGGTGGTAGCGGCGGAAACTCCATCACATCGACACTCACCTGCCGAGGTATAGTCGCAGTTAAAATCAAGACTTGACTGGACGTTACAAATATCAATCATCGATATTTAATAATTTGTATTTTTTTAAATATATCCGTTCGACAAATGATATCGCGCATTGATGTCCCTGCATTTGATGTAATCGATCAAGATATTTTCAGATATTTTGACGCAGAAAGCTTTTAAAGAGCTCGAAGATGGAGCAGCGGAGATTAGCTCGATTCGAAACTCGTTAATCACGAAAGACTCTCGTGACGATACACGTATGAATGGCTACTCATTTCGATTACTATTCAACGAATTCGTTATTTTCATCGAAGCGTTGAATTCAACAAAGACAGTTCATGGTTCGCGATTCGCGACAAGTGTACTCTCGAGAGATACGCTTAGTAAACCGAAGACAATGCGGCCGATCGATCAATTTTATTCTTTGAAACGAGTCTCTTCTGGAAAATGATTACAATCCGCTTTTCTCAATGCAATTATCCGTAATTATCAAATATTTCTTAGCTTCATGCAAAAAGCCGTGATGTAATCGCAATGCACGTGGTTATTCGAGCTAGACGAGCTCGGGGACTGCATTAGCAGATGAATCTCACCGAACATTTTCCATGATACACGTCGCGCGATAAAAAATTAAAGAACTTTGACCGGAGTTAATTATGTGGGTAACAGTAAAAACGGATTCGCGTGCGGGATGCAGGCTGGTCCCTTAGTTACCTCCACATTTTACGGCGAAAAATGCGGCCATCGCGCGGCATCGCTAATGGAATCTTATATTACAGAGGTAACGCTACCAATTTATATATGGGGAGGCCCGGTCTCAGCTGCTCGGCGCCTTTTCACCATCGCGGCGCACGCCCACCATGGTCGTATATTTCTGCCCCTGCATTTTTCACGATGCAGACGCACACCTTAGTATGCCCGCCATAAAGGCGGGCTTTTTATTTCCGTTTCGCCTTTCTGCGTCGGCATTTTAAACGACACGCGCGGAATAGCGATTGCGCCACGGCGCGATCGACGCGACGACAGATTCGCGAGACGCGGCGCGAGCTGCGCTGACCCACCTACCTGGAATTCCGGATTCTTCGAGTCCTCCAGAATGGCGTCGATCACGTTCTCGATTTGCTTCTGATCGTTCTTGTGGTTCTCGATGCCATTCTGGCGCAGTCGTCTGCCGGACGAGTAGATGACGCCGTCGGTGGCGCCGTTCGGTTTTCTCCGGTCCGCGAAGTCCGCGTCCGAGCTGGCCTTCGACGTCTCGGAATCGGAGCTGTACTGCTGCTGCTGCTGCTGCTGCTGCTTACCGCGACTTCTGCTGTCGAAGGGATTGCTGTCGACGATCATCGGTCTGCTCCGCCCGTCGTGCGGCTCGCTCTCGCAGCTATTCCGCTTCGAGTTCTGCTTCAGCTCGCCGTTTCGCCAGCGCTTGCTCTCGCAGTAAGACTCGCTATTCTTCACGCTCTCGATCTCCTTGATCGCGTCGCTCACCTTCTCCAGCTGCCGACGATTCTCCTTCAGCGCTTTCTTCACGATCTGATCCTCGATCAGCAGATTCACCGGGATCTTGGAAACCAATCGCTCGTCGCTCATCGTCGTCGTGAGCTTCTTCTTCGACGTCTGCGACTCGGCGAATACGTCGTTCGTCGACGACTTGCCGGTTTCCAGATCCGCCAAGGTAGGCGCCGTCGGAATGCCGTTGCAATCCCTCAATCGGTCCAAACGGGAGTTCATTTGATCGTCCTCGACGGGCGACGGCGGTAGCCGGGGCAGCTCGATGCTGTTGCGCTCCTTGTCCTTGTCGGAAATGTCGGACGCCTCTTCCTCCTCGACGGTGATCTCCAGCTGAGCCCGATTGCTGGCGTCGTTGTTGATCGCCGGCATCGACACGACGCGGATGAGATCCGGCGGCGGCACTGGAGCCGCGAACTCCGCCGGCGGCTCGTCCAGACCCTCGAGCTTGCCTTCTTTCAGCAGGCTCTTGATGTTGTCGAAGGTGCTCGAGTACCGCTTCACGTCCGACAATCGGCTTTCCTCGCCGTTTTCGAAAGACAGGCTCTTGGTCTTTGTCGGCGTCTTCGGCAGAACTTTACGCTCCTTCTTACGGCCGCGTCGTATGACGTACGTGCCGTTCTTCGTGAGCTCCTGCGGGCGTATCTGGTCGAGGTCGTTCGTAGACGAGTCCGAGTACGGCGAGATCAAATCATCGTCGGTCGTCGACAGCCGCTGATCTTGCCAATCGTCGAAATCGCGTAGCTTCGACGCGGAACCCACGCCTGGACAATACATCGTACCTCGCAATTTTTACTAAATTCTTATTCTAACTTTTCGACGAAGAAACAATCAAATTTGACTCAAATGTTGTGTTTAAATCATATTTCTCGAAAATTTTATATTTCTTTGTTAAAAAATTATAAACGTAAGTAAAAACGTAAGTAAACGTAAATTTCCTCGGAAGAAAGACGGAGCTTTTTAATTACAAAATATGTACAACGCAAGAACGTCATTTAAAATGAACAATCGCGAAAAATTACGAACCTTTTTCCGGGACGAAAGAATGGACAAGTACTTACTCGAGACGTCGCTGCTCTTTCGTCGTCTCCTGCCGACGACTTTGGTGCTGCCGGGCGCGTACAGAGGATCGTCTTCTAGAGACACCTCCCACGCGATGGAGTGCCTCTTGCTGATGGGCGGCGGTGGCGGCAGCAGTTCTTCCAGGGAGTCGTCGGAGAAACGCTCCTCCTCGGACTGCGTCCTGAAGTCGGCCGAATTGCGCGTGGAGAAGTCCGAGTTACGCGTGGAGAACAGGTCGGAGTAGCGCTCCTCGGAGCAGCGGTCGGACGTAGGCGCGGAGAATCGCTCGCTGGAGTCCGCGCGCGGCAGCGAGAACGAGACGAAGTCGAGGTTGCGTATGGAGAACGGATCGGAGGTCGGCACGGACACGTGGTCGTTCGAGCTCGCGCTCGCCACCGCTATCGAGAAGTCCGAGTGGAAGCGTTCGTTCGACGTGGAGTTAGCGCGCGAGAAGTCCGACGAGTCGCAGTTCACGCGCATGGAGAACCGCTCGACGCTGGCCGAGCTGGAGCGCGGCATGGACGACCGGCTCTCGGACTCGGAGTTTCTGGAGAACCGACCCTCGCTCGAGTCGGAATCGTTGCGCCGTCGCGCCGACGACGGCTCCTTGTCCGACCTGTTCATCAACAGACGGTCCTCCACGCTGCTCGACTTCATGATCTCGTTCTGCTGCCGCTGCTGCTTCCTCGGGTGGGGCGCGCGCTCCCTTTCGGGACTGCTCTGCTGCTGGCGGCCGCTGCCGCCGCCGCTGCCGCCGTCTTCGAGACACTCCTCCGAAGAGCGACGACGCACCTCGCGATGCTTCTCCACCGCGCTCGGGTTCGTCCGCGGCGGGATCCAATTGAAGGACACCTTGCCGTCGTATGGCAAACTGGCGAATTTGCTGGGCGGACTGGGCGGCTGGGCCAGCCGCAGCGACTCCACGGTTCCGTTCTCCCAGCCGTACGGCCGCTGATGGCGGGTCTTCGGCTGCCGAAATTCACCGAGTTACGACAGTACATCGTAAAATCGCGCGAGCGATCTGGAGTTGATTTTTTGCAAAAATTTCATTGTTTTTTCGCATCTTCCAAGCATCCAATAAATGTTACCGCAATTAAATCTTCCATTTAAGTGAAGTGTACAGAAAAGTAAAGACTCGTTGTTTACTTAAGATGTATAATTACTGAGAAGTGTCTGCAAGCTTTATTTCTTAGTCTTTAACAGAGCACTCATTAAAGTATTATTGTTTTAAAGATATCTAATTTTTTGCCTTTTTAATCTCAACTCCAAATAGCTCGAAAAAATTACGAAAAGAAAAGGCACGAGGAAAATTAGCTTTATTCCGCGCTCCCGAAAGTACAACTCGCAACTCGAATCTTCGATCGTTTGTAGAGATCGAGTTTCGCGAATCGAACGCGACTTATCTCTGTGCGGTGGAAGCTTCGATTTTGCACGGTCGACCCGTAAACCGACATCGTTACGACGAGCTCCAACGAGAAAGTCGCGATATTACGAGCGGCTAGGCGCCGATACGTACAGTGCCAGACCGCGTCGTCGTAAATAAACCGAGTTATTGGGAACGATCGAGGCAAGGGAGAAAGAGAGACAGCGAGGGAAGAGTAAGGGTACTCACGAGGGTGGTCTGCGTGGTAACAGCGTTCCCGTGCCGCATGCTATCCTCCACGGCGACCATCCACTGCTGCCGGCCGCCGGCATTATTCCGTCGCTCCGAGGCCTGGCCCATGACGTTCCTCTTTGACGAGTTTCCCGGGGAAACCCTGGTCAACAAGTAAAACGGGAAGAAATGCGATAAATATGCGGCCTCACAGGGGTCCAATTAAATTCAGCGACGCGCAACTTTCATAACTGCCCATAATGGAATTTGAAGCGGACACGGCATATACGTTGCAAAGTGGACAATGACAAATGTGTTCCTGAATATTTCTGAATATCGTTTAATGCTGGTGTGCGCAGTGTATTTCATCGACTTATTAATGAACGTTGCGTCGGTATAATGCGTTTATCAATGTTTATTAATAAACGATGAGAATAAAAATCGCAGGAAATCGCAGAAAATCGCGGGAAATTAATACGATTTGTTTAATTAATAAGATATTGGAATGTTGATAATTATTTTCTCCATACTGCTCCGTATTATTTCAACAAATGCCTGCTTTAAAAATGAAAATAGTTAAAAACGTCCTTTCTTAATTAAGACAACACATTTTGAATCTTCACAAGTAAAAATGGAATAAATAATTTTGTACAGTTTTTTTTTTTTAATATTTTAAAAACTGTTCTCAAATTGTACAAGAAGACCGCTTAATCTGGAAAAGCTCGTGGAATAATTTGCGTGTTAAGCCAGTTCATGCGAACAAACATCCGTATTACCCACGCATCGCGAAGTTCGCGATGTTTTCAAGCGGCGCGTGCAACGCTTGCGAAACGCGAATACTTGCACAACTCGCATGACAATACATCATCAAGGAGTCGCGTAAGCACCCGTGAAGAAGGGTGAAGTTTTTTATCCTATTAACCCTCTTTCGGCATATTTCCAAAGTTACCAAGTTGCCGAAGGAGAGCGCATAAATTCAGGCAATCTGCAACGGCCGAATAATGGAGCGTCGGGGAGGAATAAGAGAACTTTCGGAAAGAGAATAGGATAGGATAGAATAAATCAGCCGAAAAGTTATCATCGCCGTCATGCCGAGTGATCGATTTGTTTGAGCTTATTTCGGTGAACTAAGTTATCGCGAAATTTCAGCCCACAATACTGGATGCGCGAATAAAACTCTAAGCTTAACCTTTAACCACTACCATGATTCCACTGAAAATGATACCACATGAAATAGTAATCACTACCATGGGGGTTATTTCTGACCCTAATAAAAATTTGTTAAAAATCAATAACTAATATAAAAATAGCTTTTTCAAAGAAAACTATATTTGTTTATTTAAAAAACATAAAATTAAATAATAGGAATTAAAAAAAAACTTATAGAAATAATAAGAGGTCAGAAAACGAAAATATCGCGGTTTTTTTCACAAATTATGAGACCAAACTATTGAAAGCACATTAAATTTTTATCACATGATTTGGCACGACACGAATAAATTTCGCGACTTTTGGAATCTTCGGGAAGCGTCTCAATTGCACCACCGAATAGAGCGAAAAACGAATGACGATGTTGAAGAGCGAATCTGATCGACAGACGCTCGACTTTCGTTTGATCGTTGTCGTCGGCTCGCTTCCAGTCGATAAACGTCGTGTCACCTTCCTAGCAAAGGTGCCGACGAAGACGGTACTTCACGCGGAAATGCGATCTATCGGATTATTTAACACACGCAGTCAATCATGCGTAACACAATCCGCTTTGTCGATAATTGCGTCTTGGATATTCAACTTACCGATGGACATTTTTGCAAAACACATCAATTTACTTTCATATGTTGAGAAAACTATCGCCAAAAATTTTTCCGATTTTCGAGTTTTCGTCTACAATCGTGAGCGTGAAGTATTAAAGTGCTACGAAAAGTGCATGTTACGTGTTATGATAATTGCAATATAATCAACAAAAGCTTTAATAAATTTATAATTAAATAGTAATTTTAGAGATACTAATGATGGCCGCGAAATGTAATGAAAGCGATAAAAAAAGGTAAAAAGAAATATTGGATGCCTCGAAAGCTCTCACGAATATTTCTCGTTGCACGTACAAAAACGGAAGCTTCTTTCGCACGAAACAAGTTTACCGCCGAGTGGCATGCAAAAGAGGAGTTGTGCTGATTTTCTAGCGTTGACGAGAACGACGTGGGAACGAGAGGAACGTTTTGCTGGAATGACGACCACTCCACAGAGAGAAGAGGTTTCTCCCGGATAGAAGATGCAGTCTGCATTTTGAGGACAAATGCAGAGCTCGAATGTTCTTCACAGACTGCGGGCGTTTCTCTCCCGCGATAGAACAGGTAATAGGCATGAAACGTGGTGATTAGGATCGACAAGTGCAACGAGGACGTCGTCACCGTCGTCAACGGCTTAAAAAGCCGCGTCCAACAGAGAGAAACAGCTTCGATCGTTCGCGATTCGAGGAAACCTCGGACTGCTTTACAAACGCGTTGTAAAGATTTTTATGAAAATTATGCGAAAAACTTAATGATTTTTATCAGTGCAGCTACTCTCTCTCTCTCTCTGGTAACGTATTTTATGCTAAATTCTTTCGTGTAATTCTAGTTCAAAATCTATAATAAAATAATTCAATATTTATGCAGTGAGTTAAATTGATGGCAATATTAAGATAAATAAAAATTAAGTCATTAAATTAATTAACAAATAAAGTTATTTAATTAATTAAAAATTAAGCATATAACCGCAGAGTGCTCGCCAAAGTAATATCACTCGACCTCCACTTTAATAAGTAATTGCTAGAGAGTGTAAATGCATTTTTGCTGCAATTGACGCAGCCCGGCGGAAGACGGTGAAAAACCGGCTGTGTTTGCTTCCGTTTACGGTGAAGCAAGCGGCTGGAAAATCCTCACAACGCCCACAAGTCGGTCTTTAGGTGCACGACGAACCGAACGAACGAACAAACGAACCGTTGATAAAATCGGCTCAATAGTTTTCCGACGGAACGAGCACGCAAAAAAGAAATCGCGAATAGACGAAGAATTACGTCGAATTATAAGCATCTAAAACGAATTCCGCTGATTAGTAAAAACATGAAAAAATAAAAAAAATAAAAAAGTAATAGATAATAATTAACATGTTTACAAAACGGTAGAATTAATAGCTAAATACAGTGAAAGTATTTTTATTTCGTATGAGACAATGTATCGAGAGAAAGTGAACGAGAACGTAACGTCACTCACTACGTTATATATATTTTAATAGTCTGAAAATATTTTTTTAATACTTATATAGAAACAATTAATAAACAAAAAAAAATAAAAAAAATTTTATTATATAATTAAAAAATATACTAAATTATTTACTGCAAATTGTCAATTATTTATTGAAATCAAGAGCTCGGTAAGAGATCAGGCACGACATCAGAAACAAATGAATTTCAAAATAACTCCTAACTTATTGTTAGTTAATCGGTAAATCAATAATCAATAGTACCTTCTTTTTATAATGTAATTTGATATTTATAAAACTAAACTGCGCCCGCAATGTTAAGTTCTAGTCATTCTAAAATTGTCATTAATAAAAATTTTTTAACATTTGCAAATATTATTCAAAATGTTTGTTAATAATGTAACATATCAACTATAATTCGCATTTTTTTAAATTCCCACCTTATCACAAGTATTATATGTGAAATAAACAATTCAGAACTGAAAAGAAAAATACACATATACAGAGTGTCTCAATAAAATGCATACACATTTTATTTATTACCACGGACAAAATAAACAGACTTTAATTTGTTAAACGTGTATACGTTTCATTGAGTATCATCTTGTATATGTAGCACAGAAGATATGTATACAATAAGTGTCACCCGACATGAATAATATTCCTAAGTCTAGATGCCAGTATGTGCTTTATACGCGATCAGAAGAATACAACGAACATAAGAGTATTATAACGTATGTATGCGATAAGTAATTTGACATATAGAAAAACGTAAATTAAACATTTTCAAGTACTTAAAGATTGAAAAACACAAGAAACATGCTCTCCATAGTGAAATTGGTATTAATATTTTTACTAAATGAAACGTTCGCGTATATCATGCAAGACATCGAAAGAATATTGCTGCCGGCATGGAATCCGACAAGCGCAGAGGAAGTACGTGCGTTTCATTGCTTTATTCATTGCTGAATATTACAAATATTATTCCATAATTATCAAGTCATTTTTTAATTGTCATCTAATTTACAGATACCGCTGACTCTGAAAATTTTTGGAAAACAGATTCAGTTAAACCTGCGTAGAAATGTATCGTGTACGTGTGAAGTATGGAAACATGACGCGAAGGACATCACAGAAGAACTGCCGCGATTAAACGCATCGGATCCTTGCTATTATTTGCACAAAGATCGTATCAGCACAGCGGCCATAAACTTTTGTCAAGGACGCGGATGGGTCAGTGTAACCGTATAAAAAACAAATAGATTTTACTTTCAATTTCAAATTCTCTTCGTCTTATATATAAACATGACACGCAAGAACATTAACATATAATTTTCAAAAGTAGGAAGGACTTGTTTTCCTGAAGAACGACACGTTGGAAATTAGACCATTGCGGGATAACTTTGCGTCTTTGTCCTTAATCGATGATCTTTGTGTTAAAGAAGAGATGAATATTTCATTTGGCAAACCTCATTTGATTAAAAGATCTTTGCGATTAACTGCTGATTCAAGTTTTCATAATCTGGAAAACTTCAAACTGAAGCGACGTCATGTGCAAAATACGCAAGAAAAATTAACTATAGAATTGGCTGTTTTCTTCGACGAAGCCGCATATCGTATGTTCATGCCTTTTCTGGACGAAAATAAAGAAATGTTGCACATGATGATATTAGCGTACGTGAATCGTATCCAAGCTGTGTTCCATCATCCGAGTTTGGGTGTCTCTATCGATATTTCGTTGGTGCATTTGGAAATTATGGATAAACAACCATTTAATATCTCAGTTTCTAACGACACTAACAAACTACTGGATTTGTTCTGCGAATACGCAAAAACTCGCAATCCTCCGAATGACAACGATCCCCGTCACTGGGACGTTGGTCTTCACCTAACCGGAATAGACATTTATTCGTTGACGAAAGACTCCTTAGCATTAAGCAAGAACGACGTCTGCGACTCAAATACATCGTACGTGATAGTAGGACTCGGTACTACACGTCACATGTTGTCGGGTTTTACATCGTCTCTCATTGCAGCTCATGAGATCGGCCATGTGTAAGTTTATAATAGTTTTACGTATAAATTAAATATAAATAATATATTTTACGAGAATTTCTTGAATATTTTAATATAAATGAAAAGCTGAAGAAACTTTTTTTAGAAATTTGCTTCTTTAAATATTCAGTATGTTAATTATTAATAAATTTTAATATAAAAATATTTAGAATAAACAATGCAAAGTAAAGCATTTTTTTTAATTAATAATTTATTTGTTCCAAAGCCTAGGAATGCATCATGATTCAGTGATGTGTAATGTATACAAATACATAATGTCATTTCGCAAGGTTAATTACGAACAAATAACATGGTCCTTGTGTAGTCGTGTTATTGCTACAAAACTCTGGGATACAAAAAAGTGCCTCCGAGATCGTACAACACCGGCAAATCTTAAAGACGCATATGATCATTCGCGTTATCACGATTTACCCGGAAGAGAATGGACCGCTAAAGAACAATGTGAACTATATTTTCGCGACAAGAATGCGAACGTAGTCTCGTTGCTTAATGTATGCAAAACCTTACAATGCGAGTTATTTAAGAAAGGGTCTTACTTCACGGGACCGGCGTTGGAAGGTATGGTTCTTCTTGCTGATCTCTCAAATAGTTTGTAGATTAATTAATCCTATTTTTTAGGGACACATTGCGCACACAAGAAAGAATGTCGTGGCGGTAAATGTGTTTCCGTTATCGAACCGCCATATAATTTTAAGTATTGTCAAAGGGACGACTGGAGCGAATGGAAAGAGGACTACTGTCAAAGTAATTGCCTAAAAAATTCTAAAGGCGTAATAGTCAAACGACGATCTTGCGAACATAGAAGTCGCAGAACGGCGAGCTGCAAAGGGCCATATTACGACGTGGTCCTGTGCAATGATTCACTCTGTGCTGGGGAACGCAAGACGATCGACTCATTTGCCAAATTGATATGCCACGAATTTAACTTGATGGCAATGTATAATGATCAGAAACTTAAAATATTGAAACTAGAATATGACTCGAAGCCAGGATGGCAGGCCGCTTATGATGTCGAGAAACCGTGGAAAGCCTGTACTATACATTGCCGACAAAAAAATTCATCTACTCTCTACGCACCATACGAGAAAATGTTCGTATTAAATTTCGATCCATACTACCCAGATGGAACGTGGTGTCACAAAGAAAATGGCCGGAATTATTACTGCCGACAACATTACTGTCTGCCGGAAAGCTACTCTTAAGAATAATTGTTGAAAGATTATCGACATTTGTGAACGAGAATCGAGAAAATGAAACGCGTGCAAATCAATTTAGAATAGTTGGTCAATTTATTTGATACCAAATATTCGATCGGACAATCTATCGTTGTTAACATCTGTTTTGCGTATTATCGATGCCTTGCTTAATATAAACAAATGGACGAAGAATTACGTCGAATTATCTATTCCTAAAACGAATTCCGTCGATTAGCAATGGTAAAACGTGAAAAAAAGAACAAAAAAGTAATAGATAATAATTAACATGTTTACAAAACGCGAAAATAAATAGCTAAATAAAGTAGAGGTATTTTGCGTACATGACAATGTGTCGAGGAGAAAATGGACGAAAACGATAACGTCACTCACTATGTTATGTATTTTAATATTCTATCAGTGTTTCATTAATACTTATACAGAAACGATTAATAAGCAAAAAAAATAAAGACAATTTTATTCCGCAAGTGGAAAAATATTCAAAATTATTTAGTACAAATTGTTATTTATTTATTGAACTTATGAACTCGTTGACTGAATGCGGCAAAAACGGTGACATCAGAAACAGGGTGTATTTCAATGTATTTGCTACTTCGGTTAATCAGTGATCAGTTGGATTTTCTTTTTCTAATATATTTTTGATATTTATAAGACTAAATTGCGACCGCAATGTTATGCTCTAGTCATTCTAAATTTGTCATAAATTAAAATTTGTTTAATAATTGTGAATAATGTGCAAAATGTTTTGTAGCGTTATTTGTAGCCCATGAGATTGATCATAAGTGTGTTGTTAGTCATATGATATTTATAAGTATATATACATATACATGCGCTTTATCTCAGTGAGGAGAATGCAATCGGAGTTGCGCGAAAGTAGTACGAATACGAGAAGAGGGAGTTTAACTTCCTTCCCAGTCGGAAGGGAGGGTTCTCCCTTGTTTGAGGTAACGTAAAGCGGAGTTGGTGAGGTGCGACGACGCAATGAGATCTGGGCGAAATGGCACCTGTTCCTGATGAAACAAACTTACGCTTGGAACTAAAACTGAAGATATGAAAAAGTTCGCGAAATTCTTGCGCGTCCGCGCACGCGATAGAGAGAGCGCGCTCCGTCTTCTCATTACGCAAACGGAAGTCCGCCCTCGCCCTTGAACGCGCTAAAATGCAGAAGAGAACCTGCAGATGCGAAGGACAGAAGGAATTTAAGTAAAGATGTCCTCGAAGTCCTCGAAGTAGACGAGTTCAACCACTCTGCATGTTATCGCTGTGTGCGAAATTATTTTACAACCTAACGAATTTTCAGACTATTTTATATGGCATTTTGCACGCAATTTTACTTCCTTAAAATATTTTATAATATTTATAGATATTTGTAAGTTTTTATATACTGCTTGAAATATTTTGGTAGATTGAGATGTATGTCAATTTTTTTTTTTTCTTTTCAAACAATTTTCGATACCCTTCCGATATCGTTCGAATTTCCTATCGAAAGTTTAAGTACGCGATTGGCGAGTCTGAAAGGAAACGATCGTGTCGCAATTATCGATAATCAATGTGTACTTACATCGGCAGAAGAGTCGAGATGATACGTTCAGCCTCTTCCGGGGGCGGCGGGAATTCCTGCGTCGAGACGCCCGCGGAATCCTGCGGCTCCGGACAGTCCGGAACCGGACGTAATGCTACCAGTGCCATCTTCGCCTTCCGACCATTCATGCTCATGTAACCGTCGTCCTCGGATTGGTGTCCTGCCGACATACGTTTTACGATAAGTATTCCGGGGGGAAAGACAAATACTCGCGAGAACGTCGGAACAATTTAATTCACCGAACATCGACTCGTTCTAAACGCGGCGTTTCTCTTACGACTCTTTCCGAACAGTTCCGGAGTTGCGGAGAAATCGCATTACTTCTGTCGATGCCTTGTGAATCTTGGAAATTCGTGTTGATATTGTTGCCGCTCGATAAAACGATTATAGATAGCGGTATCTCGAATTTTAGTTGAAAATGCTTTGCGAAAAGCGAACTAGCAGAGTTCGATTCGGCTTCGAATTCGGTTTCAGCTGTTCCAAAACAAATTCAATTTTTGCAATATCTTGAAATTGCATTTTTATCTTTTGAACTTACATTGGCGATAGAAAATTGTTTTTGGAAGCTATTCTATTTTTCTTTTTCGCGTGAATCTTATCGCGAACACAAGAAGTGCGGATATAGTTGCCAATTTTTTTTCTCTGACGAGAAATCTCTCGTTAATCATCCGCAAACGTTCGCAGGTGCTTCGACACGTAGCGAGTGAGCGCAATCGATGGATATGCCGATTTGAATTTTTGGTGAACCGTGTGCGAAGAGAGGCCGGCTCTCTCTCCCATGAGAACGAAAATGTACATGCTTTCACGCCGATTTTCCGCGAATTGAATGGCAGGCCGCCAAGTCGGCGGGTTTATATTGTACGTCCGTAGGAACGTTTCGATGGAAATAAAGAGAAAATATGTATCCCATAGCCGGGGAAAACTATGGCTGAGTCGAGTCGAACGTCCGACGATTCACTGCCCGATAGGTCGGCATTGCGTCCGACGATAATCTTTCTCTCCCTCTCCTTCTTCCTCTCCGGCTGTTTGCAAAATGCGTTTTCTACGAGCTATTTATATCCACCTTTTATCCCACGTTATTTGATTCTCAAATCTCTGATATCTGTTCGATAGTCCGGAATTGCCATTCCGATTTCCCAAATTTCGATCACGTGCAGATAAATGTGATAATAATTCTGCTTAACTAATTACGTCACATTAAGAACTTGATCCAGGCATTTGTTTCTAAAAAAAAACCCAATAAAAACCAGAAAGAAGATAAAACAATAATGTGAACTAAATACATTTTAAAATCGGGACAACCTGTGCTATTTATAGATCTCATTGTATTATTTCACGCATCATAAAATTCACGGAATAACGTTTAATTGGCTTTTGTTTGCTGTGGAGCGCAATCTTTACAGTGCTGTGCGTGCGTGTGGAGAATTCCGCTGCGGAAGTTCTGGATGATTTAAGCTGCTATTCTTAAGCATGACGCTCGCAGAGTGCGCAGCAGTTGCATCTAGAGTGACAGTCATGCGAAATGTTGATTCACGGTTCACGGCTGTGCAGAGAAAGGTAACTACAAAGTTATTGTGTCCCGAAGACGTGGAAAGACCGAGCTCTCAAACAAACCGCTCTGCATTCCTCCTCGCAAAACCGCCGCAGAACGGCCCTGTGGTTGCGCGGCTTAGGGCAAGGGATTTAGGCAAATCGCCGCGTAAAACCAAGTAAGAACGCAAAACGTGGAGATTTTATTCTACCGCCATGACGATCAGATTATTCAATTGCAAAATCAAGATGCTTTAACCATTGTATCTTTCTTCGCCGACGAAAGCGCGGCGATATGAAAAAAGAAATTGTAGTTAAAGAACATTATTTTCCTCGATTATGTTTTTGGCGTGTTGGCAAAAATAAAGGATCTCGCAATTAAGCTGAAATTAATATTTTAGTTAGATTACTCCCGCACGAACTTGTGAAGATAAGATCCGCTCGGCAGTCTGCGTTGCACTTGGTGCATCTGCATTGCGCATAGCGTGAATCGCACAGACGAGTCCTTTGCAATTACTACACAGTTTACTACAAGGCGAGATTGCCTGGGTCAACGTACACACAAGAGTGCAAGAAAGTTAAATATCTTAGTCAGGGTGACGAGTTAAATCACGTAAATCGCACGCCAAGCGCACACATACAGCGCGCATAAACGAGCCGCCCGCTTGCGTTGTCGGCCCGAACGACTTTCCGCGACAACTCGCACCGGCATGAAACTTGGTGCTTCAAACGCGAGCAGATATCTTTAGAGAGGCGGAAATAGCGTGCGAAGTTCTAGAAAGAGGCGTACTCAGTTGTCACTGGAAATTTACTATCTTCGCCCCTGTCGATATAAAGCGGCGCGCTTCCACCCGCGCGCCGCTTCTTCCACAAGTTCGAAGCGGATGCCTTCCTCGGCGAAAATTTGTCGCGAGACGATCATTTGTCGCGATTTTCACACGCTAGGTGTCTCAAAATGTAAAAATTGCATTTTGCAATTTTATTCTTAACGACAAAATATTATGTGTAATGATTTTGGGTATCATTCGCTATTGCTGTCATTAATCGATAATAAGCAATGTTTATCACAACTCTCTACTAGTATATTTTGATATTTATTAAATGCAAATGTATGCAATAATTTGCAAATAAATAAATGTCGATAAATATTTGCATTATAGGTTACTGTGGACGAGATAATATTTGACAGCAATATGAAAATTTGCATTTTATGAAAATTGCAAGATCGATATGGACTACACAACGCATATACGTACGCGAGATATGCAAAGTGCAGCGTGCGGCGAATAAATTTTTTTCTAAATTTTTCAGCTAGTTTATTCGCAGCGTTTTTTCATGCACTATTTGTTCCCTGTGATGAGTATCCGGAAAAAAAAAGAAATGAATTAATTCTCGTTGTCAACGGTCTGTCAGTTTGCCGGCGCGTGTACTCGACGACTCGAGATGGTATTGATTTTTGCGGCAATCGGATATCGAAGTTTTGCTGAAAATGTTCACTCGACGTTATGCAAAATTGTGCGAAAAGGACGAATTTTAAAATTCACGCGAACAGCGCATTTTCAACGACTCTCAGGTGAAAAAGCGCCGAGTAAAGAAGTACAAAACGCGTTGCGAGGAGTCGCATGCTCACTTCATGGAATAAGTGAATCAGACAGCACTGATGCGAGTGGTGTTTAATTTTTTTACATCTGTATGAAATTTTTACTAAATTTCCTGTAAAAATTTATCATGCGTCGTGAATTTAATATTTATTTGTAATCTTTGCGCTTGTAATTTCCTATATTGAGGATCGTGAGTTATGTTGCTTTCTATATCCTCAAATTGTCCCTGCAAGGGTTTATCCCAAGATAGAATAATGAATCTATATTAGGGTCGCATTTACGACTTACAACCCATTCTCTATTACAATCGGGATTAGAATTTAGGATCCTACCCGGATCTCAAGGGACAGAAGATTCTGCGACCGACAGAATTCCTACGATCCTACAATCCCTTGATTCGAGTATCAAAAAACAAAAAATAAGAATATTAATGCATCTAGGCATTGTCGCGACGTCATAGCGGTTTAAAAATTCATTGTCCTCCGCAAAAAGAAAGCTTTCGAGATCCATCGTTTAATTTATAGCGATTAGAACTCTACATTCCATAATGACTTTCTCGAATCGCATCACGCTCTAATAGGAGACGATTATTTGCTTAAATTTTATATCGATAGGGCAAAATAAATAAGAAAACATTAAAGCTATCCAAACAAGTCCTTCATGCGAATGCCAGTTAATCGTGTTCGGCAAACACGAGCGCGACGTTCGGTGGGTCGGTCATTCCGCGAGGAAATAAGAAGCGGGGGGATGGAAGAAACGATAAACGGAAAAAAGGGTACCTAAGGACGGACTCTCGTCGTCGGGCGTGAGGCCAATACTCGGTTCCGTGCTGCTGCCGCAATCCCCGACGCCCCCGCTGCTTCCGTTCCCGACGCAGCCGCCGTTGCTTCCGCCACCGCCGCCGCCTCCACCGCCACCTTCGCCCTCCACGTCGTGCTCGTCGTACTCTGAGAGCACCTTGTCCAACAGCTCGATCGATCGTTGCACATCGTCACCTCTGGAACAAACGTAACGTTTGACTCTATAGAGATTATCGCTACTTTATCTCTATCCGTAAACAGCGAGTCGTTCTCAAAGAGGAGAAGAATTTCGCCGTGAATGCGTGCAATTCACGCGAGGATTATCAAACATCGGCCACCCATTTCATTGATATTTTCTCATCTGTAGAGCAGATAACGTGAAATGTAGAATACAATTTTCATATAAGAATGCAAGAATAGCTTATCGTTTGTTTAAATTTGAGAAACTGTATGTTGCTCCTTTCACCCCTTCCATTAGACCATCATAAATCATTACTATCATTAGCAAAGTACACTATATCACCTGCTGCCCCCTTATCTTATTATGGCTGATATCTACACGCGTCCCACTTTCGTAAGTGATAACCAATAAACGCCCCGATAATTTTGCATAATGGCGCAAACTATTCTCCGCGCGGTATTTAAAAAATCAGTTTAATTAAAAAAAAGTAGGTCACGTTAACCCGCGAGTGCACGCGTCGCGAAACAATCGCGTTGTTCTAAATTAAAAGCGAATATAGGGCGGTCCGGAATTTCCCGTCCGTTCTCGACTTTCATTATAAAATGCATTTTTCACCGCGGTTATTTCTTGCGCAAGAAATGAGATTTTATATAATGCACAGAGATCTTCGCAAACTATATTTTATACGTAACTTGGAGTTGATTTATAGCAAATTGCACGATTTTCCGCGAACCTCCTTAAAATTTAGAAATATTAATTACAAACGCAACGTTTCGCGCAAGCGTTGCCCGCGGCGCAAACATTGGCGCCGCACAGATCCTTCGATCGGCGATTTCTGGGTCAGTTTATTGAAGTCACCGCATCAGACAGGATGATACACTTTGATATCGTGGATTGGTGGCGCGGGGGGGTGAGCGCGGCGATGGTTTAGCAAACTTGGTTACTTCGTTACGTTCGCTGGGCGGATCCTATTTTATCTGGCGCAGTGTGTACAGAATTCCTCCTGAATTACCGCGGAAAATCGATTATCCGGTATGGCACATTAATCGTCCTTACTTAACTCTTCCGCCGATGGACTCTTTGCCGTCGAGCGAGGAAGATGTATCTGCCTGATGGTTGTCTGGGGAAAAAGTCTCCCCGTGCAGCGAGCAAAGAAGTAGTAGCTTCGCTGAGAAAGTTTATCAATGCTATGAATTTTCTACGTAAGACAAAACGTCAGCGTAACTCTGTTATATAAGAATTTCGTTTCTAGCAAAAGAAGACTTTGCACGCGCGTCATCCAAATTGATATCTATTAAGATATCTCATCTCATCAAGCGTTGAAGAGCAGCAAACTGTGAAAGAAAATTTCGAACCCTGATAGAGAAGGTTATCTCATCAGATCCTATTATCACACCTGCTGGCGTACATGTGTACTTATCACGTCGTCTCCTCAACGAGATATCCACTTCCAGTGAAAAGTTCACCGTCATTAGCGCGCGTTAATTATCCTTTTCGTTCACGGCAAATAAATTAGAGCGACGCCGTCATTATTGTCGTCATCGATAACACTCGAAGCTTGGTTGCATCGCACTCTTCCGGGTCACCGGTATCGGTTCTCGATGTTTACGTACACAATGCCGATAACCAAGCATTTAATTAGGCGCAGGAAACCGAATAGAGGCGCCAATAGGGGTGGTCGAAGCGAAGTTGTGAGACAGTTGGAGCGCTGACGCAATGCGGTCTTCGACCGACCGTCGAGCCGTAATCACGATTGTTAATTACTGTGGAAACACGCCGGACGTCTTCGTTGCCGCGGTGTAATGCGAAGGAGAAGAAGGAAAAAGAAGAACCTGTCATCGAGACAGTCGAGAGCTCGTCGATCCTGTCTCCTTCAAGGGAAAAAAATCGCTTCTAGTAGAGCGTAATTGATTGATTAGCACGAAAAAGATACATTCACAAATAACTCTATTATGAAATTTTGACAAAACTCAATATGCAAAACAAGATCATTTTTACGCAATTCTTGTTTTCTGTTATCCAAATTTAAAATTATTCTTTGAAATTGTATGGAACAAATTTCTGGACATTTCATATTGTGTATTTCAAACTAATAAAAACTGTTTTGCAAAAAATGTTAATTTAATTTTCAAGATTAGATTACGACTCTGACAGTTTCATATATTTTTTCTCCTAAGCGCTTGACTTTCTCCTTTTCTTCTTTTTATTCGCTATTTTCTTTAAAATTGCGTAGACCCAGACGGTATAATCAAGAGAAGAAATACTCGTCGTAGAGTACCACTCTTAGCTCATTATGCTGTCCTTGGGGATGAAACGCACTGATTTTTCGGGACAAAAGAGACGCGGAATGAATACTTTGTGCGGAGTTAATATCCCAGAGAAAGTGACTCTACCGTATAATAATCGTCGTGGTCGCAAATTAATGAAAGAGCCGAATATCACCGATTGATCTTTGCGAGAATAGAACTCTCTTGATGGCTGCGTGCATATTGAAGCTCTTGCTACTGAAATGAAAGAATAGTGATCTCTCTAATTATCGAAAATTAATCAGTACTTATGTAATTTCAATTTGATTGATAATATTTTCACATCACCAACCAATGTAGAAACAAAAGTTTTTTTTTATTTATCAATCTTTAGAATAAAGAAAAAGTTGAAAATTTTATTCCAAAATCCGCAACGCTGGCAGACAGCAGATTTTCAATGCAAAATTATTCGTTCGCTTGACAATCACACAGCCAAGCGAAGCAAAAGGTATGAAAAAGACACATGAAAGACACCTGACAGGTTAAGACATCTCTTTGACATCCTTTGGACCTTCGTGTCGTTCGGATAGCAAAGAGCCTCGGCGTGCTCGAATGACATCGTCGTCGTTTATCTTGTCGCGACGCTCCCATAGGAATGCCGGAAAGATCTAAAGAATTTCCTGAAACTCCTCGGACAAATAACGTTGCGTCGACGGGCGGGGCTCGTTAAACGCCCGTTTTTCAAGCTCATCCGCCGACCGACGCTAGACGGACGGCTTCGGTAGAGTGAGTTTAATATGCCGGCCGCACTTTCCGAACTTCGCTCGTGCTGCGCAACAAAGAGTTGCTGATCCATTCCGCCTTTCGTTTGCCTCGCCATTTCGCTCCGAGAATCCGCCAAGCCTCGCCGACTCGTTACGTGCGATTCACAATTCAAGGTTACGATTAACTGCAAGTCCGAGCAATTTTTGAAAAGTTTTTTATGATAATATCCTCGATATCGAGTGGAGTCACTCTATTATAATGCTACATCTATATTATCACCTCATATCGAATTGACCAATTGTGACGCGTGTATCAATCTCTTGCATTATCCATGACAATTCGACATGAGACATCAATCTTTTAGCCAAATCTCAATATCACTTCGTAACACATCATTAATCATGCAGTCAATAAGATCTCAAGGCTTTTCGACGGTGAGCCGTGGATCGTTTGTTATATTCGCTCATTGAAAAATATTTACGCCGAAAAATGTATAATTTATAACTTTTTTTCGTAAATATAAAATATAATCTGTCCTTCGAGAGAAAAATATTGATACAACTATCACTGTCTGTTTTCTACTTGTCACATAATTTTTGCTGCCAAAGAGGAAGTTGGCTATGATGCTTCTGTTTCGTCATTCTCTGTCGTAATATTCCGTCGTTTTTCTCTAAATGTTTCGAGCATTCACCGCGAGTGGCTCGAGCACTTAGACAGACGTTTATCGATCGCATTCTCTGTCTTTCTCTCCTTCGAGTCAAAATCTCTTTCGAAGATTGGCTGTACAACGTGCGTTCTTAAACGGGAAGTCTGGAGATATCTTTTGGAAGTATATACGGTAGAATCAATACTTTCCCTGAACTCCGTGAGTCGGTAAACATCGTACGTGTGAGATGGCGTCGTATGTGTGCGAGTTTGCGCCGGCTTTAAGGGCGAAAGGACAGTTTCTGGAACGTGTCGCGAATATAAAGCCCTCAAAGATATCCGTGCGAAGCGAAAATTTAAATATCGCTATCCCGAACAGCGACCTATCTTCCGGATACTTTGTCAAATTTTCGTCACCGTGCACGTACACGGTGGTTTCTTATTCTTTCGAACTGATGAATACAACAAATACAAGAACGATATGATCGTTCAATCGTCGGTTTTAATGAAACTCTCGAGAAATTAATATAGATTGCTATTGCACTTAAATGCTCCTCGATTATTTCACAATACTCCACTGATCATTGCTGCTTTCAGATCCTCTCCCATCCTCCACCGCGGACAAGTCGAAAGTTTGCGATGCTCGAGCACTCAACGGCTTCGAAAGGCAGACACTCGACGTCTTTCTTCGTCGTCGTGTCGTAGAAAGCCTCATCGACCGACCGAGTAAGGTGAAGCGATCGTGTACGCGGTCCGCGTAATCTATAGCGGCCAGGTGTATCGATTATCCTGTGACCCGATTCGGACTGGATATCGAGTTCCTGGGTTGGCATATAGAATTGCCGTGTCCCACCGCTGGCATGCACCCATACGCGTGCGCCGTCAGGTGTGGACTCTTCCACGTGCATGGGTGGATCCTGGGAAATCGCGCCGTTTCCGTACGCTCGTCGAATGTATTCGAAGGAAATGCACTTTTCCGATCGCTCTTTTTTCGGGACTCCTAAAGGCACTTTTCCTAATTTCGATTTTTATACATCATTCTGATACATTTCTGTTGCACATTGAGCTATTGACCTGAAAACGATGCTTTGATCTATTCTCTATTGTACTATTTCGAAATTAGCCGAGATTATTGCAACTATACTTAGCATTTTCGCAAAGCTCTAGAGACATGCATCGCATCTTTTCAATATTTTATTCAGTTCTAAGGCCAGCTTCGCACAAAGCATTCCGTTGCTTTCACATGTTTTATGTATTTTATTATGGAACTATACCTTTGTCACTTCTTACTGTTTTACTAGCACTGTAAAAATATTTCGCAATAAAAAAAACATGCTGCTGCACTTCAAGATATTATTTT